AATTGTTTAGGTTATTCTTTTAAGACCCTACATTTATGCGCAAAAATTTGAGTTCAGAGCCGGTAGTAAAATTTACCGAAAGTTTCTTTAAAATTGCGTGCGATTTCTTGTATTCTCAAATAAAACTTACGTAAACATAAAATTTCAAGTAATTCTGTTGAATATTTTTTTAATAATGTAAAACGGGCCGGTGGTAAAAATCTAGTTCACATGGATAAATTTCCATGCAAATCATGGAAAGGTGCATTTGCACCTTTTACTCGATGTGTGAAATTTGGTACCATCACGTAACTTCCTTTATCATATGCAATGCAGTCGTTAATAAAGCTCTTATACACAATAACGTACACGCTTGTATTTCATTTCCTTTGATATTGGTTGCTTTTTCTCTCTGTTTTGTTTTATTTTACGTTTTACTTACGTTTACATTATAAATTATGATCGAGCAAAGAGTAATTTCTGGAAAAAATATCTATGTACATATACATATTTTTAAACTAATTGATAATCAATCGATTAGAGTTTATATTCGACGTGTTTTTAAAAAGGTAATTAAGTTATTTTACATTTTATTTATAGCGATGTACATAATGTATGCATACGTAAATACATACCACATGAATATAGTTAATCATTTTAAATAATTCATAAAAATTATTATTGACACCATCATGATAGATTTTTAAACACGATATTGGCTTTTTACCCTTTTAGTATTTGTAATTTTATATGTAGATTAAATTAATAAATGATTATAGAGATAAAATAGAAAAAAAAAATATTTCAATACTATACTTTATATATTTATGCAGGGTGATTTTCATGATATTATGTAGTGTCGATAGAGGAATATTGGTCAAAATCCTGACTGAGGATTGCTGATCAAAATTTATGCACTAATCGAATGGAATTTACATAGAAAACTTTTATAATTACAGAATTTCATTGTCAACTATATAGAAACGAACCATTCTGTGGAAATATTGCTAATTTGAATTCGCTCCTACTGCCTACATGATACAGTGGTTTTACTGAAAAAAGACGAACTTAATAATTTTTGTATTCTATCAGAGGTGGCCAAATTGCTGCTTGCGAGCCACATAAGCTTCTTTGAAATATTTTTTAATTGGCTCCCAATAAATGTACTCTAATTTTCGTAGTAAAAGAGTAGGTTTCATTTTTAACCCCAGACCAATTTTGTAAATTTGACTAAAATGGAGCTTTGAAGATAACAATTATTACTATTGCTCTTATTACAGATATAATTATTATAATTTGAAATTTTGAATATATTAAGTTTTAAATAAAATTTTTATTTGCGGCTCTCAAAAAAATTCCAAATTTTGAGAAATGACTGGTATTTTCAAAGAGATTGGCCACCCTGTTCTCTATAAAATTAATGCTTAATTTTAATTATTTTAGATCATTATGACACCCTATGTATATAAACACCTTATTCATTAAAATATAATATTATTCATATGCTGCCTATATGATTATTATCGTAATTTTAAATTCAGCAAAATTCAAAAAAAATTTATTTATCAAATGAATTCCGAACGCGAAAATATTTTCTATTAAAATTTCATACGTTTCTATTTTAATAGCGAATTAATTTGAAAATATTGAATAATTTACATAATAAGTATGTATGTATATATTTTATGAAAATAAAATATGCATGCATTTTAATTATAAAGGTGTTCTTTGTAATAATTTGCACTTTTAATTACAATTCGCATCTTTAAACGACTAAAATTTTTGTATTTCTGTATTATCTCTATTGAAAACATTTGCCATTACCTCATAATTCTGTATGTATATATATATATATATATATATATATAATTCATTTAAAATTTAATTGCATTTAATTGCATCTACATTATAATTATTTTTAAATTTTTTTAATTCACATCAAATGATAATTTGAATTTTATGAATAAAAACATAAAATTCATTTAAAGATAGAAGATTTTACAAAAATAATAATTAATAATATAGAAAAAAAAATATTATGTAATTTTATAAACGGTTTAGAATAGAATGTATAAAATGTTTGATAAATTGTTAATTAAAAATAGTTTTGTTAATTAACAGTATAAAATATTATGAAGACTCTAATTAGGGAACGCAATTACACGCAATAATTGTAGTTTGAATTGGAATTTAATTTAATTTTAAATTTTCAGACTTTTAAGATTTTAAGGTTCTTATTATTGGAGTGAAATTAAACTCGCACAACTCAATAACCAAAACCTAATATAATAATGCATTAAATGTTAAACTTTAAATTGCTCCAAAATATCGCTCTAAATTAGGAATATTCTGTTCTTATAAAATTATTTTCTTATAGTTATAGAAATGTTTATGAATTTTCTCTTGGTTTCCTTCATTTTCTTTGTGAAGAGTACATTAACTTTCGTATGGAATTGAAGAAATTGTCTCCGGTATGAATATTCTTGCTCAGCGCGTTCGTTAGACAAGTGCGTTCGGCAGTGCGAACATGTCATAACTCAAAAACGAATCGACATCAAACTTTTCCAAGTTGTTTCTTTTTTCCAAAGAACGGACGCTGAAAATAGACCAAAATAGCCGCCATACGATTCAAAGAGATTATTTCGAATATTTTCGAATGTATAACAGAGATATTATGTATATTCTGAAAATGGAATTACTGCAGTGGTTCAGGTAACTGTCATACAATTCTAAAAGCTGATTTTAAACATTTAGAAAAATTACAAAGTTAAATTCATGAAACTTAACAGTTGTGTGTCCAATTATCTATATGTCAGAAATATCCGTGAAATTTCTACAAAATGGTTTGATAGGTCGAGTAATTGCCATAAAACAATCAAAGCTAATTTAAAATATTTGAAAAATAAAATTTTTAAACTCATAGATTGTCAAGGTGCAGGAAAAATTTCAGTCGATTTATATCGACTAAAATGTTTGTAATTGTTTTATAATAAAGTTGGGTCAAACCAATGGTTTGTATTGTAGCACTTTTCCCTTCAACAAGTGAAAATTCTGCTTTTAAATACAGTCTATGTATAGCTATCACACTATTAAAAATATTTTCATTTAACTATTTCTAGGATTGCATATATTTAGGATGATGCATATATGCAGTCTTTGAAATAAAGCAAAAATTAATATAAAGAGGGGTTAACATAATGCTCGATTTTAAGGGTTAATTGTGTGAGTTAAGAAAAATAATTATATTTTTTAATTTCACGGAATTTACCGTTAGCTTTCTGCGTTTATAAAAATTTGGAAAAGCTTGCGGTTTCGGAAATATAAGGTGTCAAAAATTCAAATTTTACGAATTTCAAGAGGTGATAACTTGAGAGGGGGTGGAGATGGAAAAAAATTTTCTTCAAACAAAGTAAACTATTTATTAATATCTAAAAGCTCCTAAAATTTCAAGCTTCTATAGTCTGGGGTCTAGAAGAAAAACGACATCAAAAATTTGGAAAAAAAGGACTTTAAATAACGGCAAATTTGAGAGGCCATTTTGTTTTTCTTAAGTTGAGCTATAGTATACCGCGCAAGGAGAAGCAAGCCACTGCCTTTCTGCGTTTGCAAAATTTCAAAAATGCTTATGGTTTTATTGCAACAAATATTTAAAAAAGGCCATTTTTAGGGTTTTGGGGGGTATAACTTCTAGAGGTGGGGAGATGATAAAAATTTTGTTCTACGGAAATAAGTTTCTAGTGAAGATCTATGTACGTATTAAATTTCAGCCTTCTATCTTCAAAGGTGTAGAAGTTTTGTAAACAGACACACGGACAGACGGACGGACGGACGGACAGAGTGAAACTAATAAGCACTTTTTTCAAAAAATTTTTTGGAAAAGTGCTAATAAAATTTAATATCACACAAGAGCAATTACAAAACTATAAATATTTTGTACATATACACCTAGTAAATGCATAATATAAAATAAAATTATGATTTAGAAAATTTTTGATTTTGAAATTTATAATATTATGATTTATTTATAAATCTGTCCAGTAATAATTTATATTACAATATTACGATATAGAAATCTGATGTGACAAAATTTAAAGGGCTTCATAATAATTTATCGTAAATTTTTCATAAAAAAAAAATTAATTAATTTCAAAATTGCGAATTATGTGCGTGTTAATAAACCAAAACCAGAGTAAAATATCAAAAAAAAAAAAAAATTTTAAATAAAATTTGAGATAAAATATTAACCCTGCGCTTGTAATGCATTCATTTATGTAGGATAAGTGTACAGTGTTTTATATAAATATATTATGCAAATTGGTTAATGTATAACAGTTTAATAATATTAAATCATAAAAGTGGTGAAATAATTTTTAAAATATTTCATTCTAATTGCACCACAATGTAACCCTTTTTTTTTATTATTATTTTTTTAATAAGTAAATCTGTACGAACAAAAAAAAAATTAAAATATTATATGATGGCAATTATCATTTTAATTTATTATATTAATGTCAATTTTTTGTTTTAATTTATAATATTTTGGAAATCATATATATTTAAATGTTTGTGTTAGTTTTATTTTTATATTATTTTTTGTTTTTTTTTGACTGAATCCATAAATTTTTCACATCCGCAAAAATAATTTAATTTGTTTAAATTGTTTATGATTCTGACATTTTAATGATTATTAAAATATAACATCGAAAAAATAAACTAATTTTTTTTTTTGGTTTTGATGCACAAAATAAAATTTTTCAATCAGAAACAATGAGGCAATCAAAAATGCATCTATAGACATATTTATATTTGCTCATGTGATGCGTATATTTCAGCCCATGTATAATTTATGCACTGAATAAATTTAAAAACCAATTAAAATTTTAGTTTAATAATTATGGGAATTAAAAACGAAGGTTTTATTTTTAAAGAAAGTCCTAAACTTCATTCAATTTTGTCGAATATTAAATGCATGAATACGATAAATTTTTTTAATATATTAAATAGAATGTCTATTATAGTATAAGTATGAGTCAGAAATTTTAGCTCAAATCTCAATTCTTGACATACACAGAGCAATTCGAAACTTGGAGAATTTTAATAAAATTATAAAAATGTCCGAATTTTCTTCCATACGATGTACAAAATATTAGCAAAAATTAAGTTTTTATAGGTAGTTTCCGTTTAGAAACTTCCATTTTATTATTGAATAATTTAAAATTTCTCATGAAGTTTTTATTAAATTTGTAATTTATTATTATAGAATTATACGAGAATAATAATGTCAAACAGCCATTTTTTATGAATGAAAATTGTAATATTTTAAAGATAGGAAATCAATTTTAATAGTTCATGAAACTTAAGTGCATGAATGAATATTTATTGTTCACTAATCAAATTACAAGAAATATTTATTAAAAGAATTTAATTTATATATGGAATTTATATATATAGGGTAAACATTAAATTTATAGGTAAGATTTCCATTGAACCATCCCCAAACTCTCGAAATTGCTCGAATTTTTAACTTTTCCATTTCTCAAAGGTGTGACATTAAAGTCTTGTATGTATTTAACAATACTTTAAATATTTAATCTATATACATACCAAAATCAGGAATATCTTTGAAATTCACTTACCTGTAAAAGAATAAAACGAAAAAATTTTATATGTAAATTTAAATTGAAATGTTAAAATAATTTTAAAAAAATATTAATTGTAATTTATCTATTTTACAGTCATGAAATTGAGAGCCAAAAGCAACCTACTTATAAGAAATTCATCCATAGAAACAAATTATATCCAAAATATTACTTTCTCTCGAATCTTTCATTCGAAAAGGTTCAAAATGTAATTTTGTTTTTAAGATAAACTATTTTAATTTCTTTATTTATAAATTAATAAATTTATAATAAGCAAACCAGTTTCAGAAGACAAATATTAGAGCTTCCTTTTATAGACTTAGAGCCTCAAAAATTGGATTCGGAATATATTCTAAATTTTTGGGTCGAATTAATTGAGTAGTGTCTAGTTGACATAAAGCAGGAATTCTTTTTAAAAAAATCTAAAAACATTTAACGCACTTTTGAAAAATCGTAATCATCATTAAATTTAAAATATACTGAAAAATTCAATTAGAAATTTGTGGAGGAAATTATTTTTCCAAAATTAACATACATAGATTCATACATAATATTTATTCAACAAAATATGCCTGTTAAATATGCCAAAAAAAGATTTTATTTCAAAATTCCAAGAAAAAAATAAATAAGCGAATTTGGCGAAAAAGTTAAAGAAAAACTATTTTTAGAATCAAGGATGTCATTAATACGTTTTCAATACAAAAGTTTTAATATTTGTGATATGCACACACTTTGCATACATATATTATAAATTGTACTATAAGCAGTAAATTTTCCTTAGAATGTGCTAGTATAATTCAAGTATACAATTCGTATGAAAGCTATACTCTAAATTTTCATCTGATTTTTGCATCATTATTGAATAATTTTTTTTTTGTTTTTGTTTTTTTTTTATTCATTTTCTTCCATATTATAACGGTATTCAATACATTATTGTATTTCACACTTTTTTTTTGCCATACAAAAATATTGTAATATTGAATTTTTATTTTTAAAATTCAAGAAATAAAATGTTGTGTATATAATTATACATACATACATTACTGTATATGATATATGTACATACTTATATAATGTAGATGAAATTCCATTTAAATTTTTAAAGGAAAACGAAAAAAAAGAACTATACCAGTAGGAGAATAAATTATACATATATAGAATACAAAAGAAATAATATAAAAACATTATAGTATAAGAGCAATCTTTAATCCTTAAAAAAAAAAATAATAAAAAAACGAAAAAAAAAACAAACAAAGAAACAAAATTTTAAAATTCCAAAGCAGTTGAATATAAGAATTCCTAAGTGAATTCAATTTGGTTTATTAAATTCCATTAAAAAGGACGATTTCTTAGAATATTATACTATGTGCATACATTGTATAATGTGTGGCAAAAATTTAGGATGTTTACAGGGTGCTTAAGTGGGTATTTCTAAAGAAGAAGGCAATGAAGCCAGGGGGGCAAGAAATAATACAAAAGATATTTTCACTTTGTTCGCATCACATTTTCAATTTATTTCAAATTTTAGCTTTTTCGTTTTAATTGTGAAAAACGAAGGGTAGAACGAACTCAGTTTAAAATTCATAAAAATCTCCGTCCAATCAGTTTTCATGGATGTTATCAACTTTATTAATTTACAAAATATTTTAAACCGACAATAGCTTTTCATGGTACTCGAATGGCACAAGACGAAACTCAACTAAGAACCAAATTTACATTTTTCGAGGAATGTTAACTAAAAGCTAACTAGTGTCCTTAAAATTGTAAAGAAATGTTTAAAAACGAATTTTCACAGTTTTTGTTTTTGTAATCTAGACAATATAATTGCGATCGGTTGGGTGTTGGTTACATCATATTTTTTTTATTTCCGAACTTTTATCGAAACTAGAGATGTGGAAAACGAAATCAAGAATATTAAAAGACAAAAATAACACAAAAAAAAAATCATTTCATAAAGAATTTTTTTCCATCTTTTATAATGTAACAGTTTGTAACACAAAATCTTGTACACTCTGTATATGTATCAAGTTACTAAAATGTATTATTCGTATTATTACAATGTGTTCTCTGTTTGAGAAATAATTTTTTTCCATTTAAGAATTCAAACTTAATCCATTTTTGTTGTACCCGTTTGCAGGATAGAAGTAATAGGAAATTGCAATATCATACAAAATTTTCTTTTAGGTCTGTTTTTAGTATATTGTATTTATGTAAATAATGTAGTACAAAATATAAGATTCCATACAATAAACCACTCCATTTAACTTTTTCGACCAAAATAGTTTCATCTGATAATAAAATGATTGTTTTGTTTCCAAATTATTGCTTTGTTTTTTGAGTTTCCATTTTATAAATATTTCTCTAAATTTTCATCATTTCCCGTGTTTTTAATTATGTGCAGTTATTCATAAATTTTATAGATGAAAGAGTGCTAGTAATGAAGATAAACAGTGCAATTCGGGACAGTATTGTGTAATGCAGTTACGTGCAATATATGATTTTGTTCATATAGTTTCAAAAAAATGGAACGTAGAATTTCAAATTATTGTTCAAATCTCAAATATTAATGAATTATAAAGAACAATATTATTCGTATTAATACATAATGTGCCAAATATTTATTCACATGTTTCTAAAATAAGACATCCTGTATATCGAGTAAATATAATAAGTATAATATTTTATATATTTATATTATAGAAAAAAAATCGAATTTTCAGTATTTTTCAATAAGAAATACAAATAAGTATGAATAATATTAAAAAATAAATATAATAATATATTTTATACGTATAACAATATCGAAATGTCTAATGCGTATTTGGAAATTATTATTCTTAAGAATTGAGAAAATTTATCGAGAAAAGAATATAGAGGAAATTTAATGTTATAATGAAATAATTTAATTTTCTCTCAAATTTCGGGTTTTATTTTTCTTATTTAATATTTGGTTTACTTACAACATATTTTTATTTTGAAATTTACTTCACATTTTTTTTTTTGGTGAAGCATGCAAAATATTTTACGGCTCAAAATCGTAATAGGAAGGTAGTATAATGGATTTCAACAAAATTCTATTCACAATTCGATTTTTAAAAATTTTAATTCACAATCTCCACTTTTATGTAAATTCATTTTTTTGTAGTAAATAATTTTTTATCGAATTTTCATGATCACTTTGCTTTTCTTTCCTATCTTAATATGACAGAAAAATTTTTAGTTGAATTTGAAATCGCGTTATAAATATTTAAAAATGACTTATAAAATGTTTCTATTCAGGCCAGATCTACATTATATTTAGAGGCTCAAATTTAGCATTTTAAATATTCTGAATTGTTAACTTACAAAGGCCATAATATATTAAAAATAATTTCTATTTAATATTCAATTAAAAATTTGTGTAGGAAAAATTGAAATTAAAAAGTTTAAAGGCAAAAATATTATAAAAATTAAAAGGATTAGCGACCTTGGATATACATATAAAAAAAAAAGGATTTTTTTTTAATTTTATAAAAAGTTTTCAGTGTAATTTTGATTCACGATTAATTTATTTTAACTCAGTTTACATATACATATTCACATGCACATACATACAATTGCGGTTCCTTCAAATGCTGGCATATACTAACATTTATATATGGGTAATAAATTTTTGAAATTAAATTTATATTATGAAAAAAATTTATTAAAATTTTAAAATAATATCGGATTAAAAATATCTTAATGGCCTTTAAGACAAAATTCTTTGATAAAATAAAATTATGATCGTACCTATTATTTTTCTCAAGGTTATAAAGTATTAAAGTTTTTAACACGAAATGAGAAAGATTTTGTTATTTTCTTTTTGTTTTATAGATATTTTAATTAATAAATTTATGTACAGATCTGTGCTCATATTATATAGTATATAATAATTGTATATACTCGTAGAATGATAAAATAATAATTATATTAGAAAATATTAAAATGATTGAAAATTGGCTTTCCAGATTTAGGTGTCGAGCATAAAAATCGAAAGTAATAACATCGAATCCAAGCTATAATTTTGTTTTTAAAGGATAAAGATATATTAAGAGACAAAATCAAAGAAATTTACTTCAAATTTACTTCAAAATTAAGAGAAACTTTTTCCATCACACCAAAATTTGTTTCAGCAATTTTTATCATATTTGCAAAATAGTGGGCATTAATTAATTAGCTTTCGTTTATGATTATAAAATTTTCCTAATTAAATTCGGCAACTTTTTTTTTATTATAATAAAAAGCGTGGGAATTTTAAGAGCAAAATTTTCAAATATTTCAAAAAAACCAAATTGTACATTACTTACTCATATTATTTTATAAAAACACACAATAACCTGATTAAATCTTGAATTTTCAAAAATTCAAATAATTTTTAATTTCTTTGGCATTTTTTTAATAAAATAATTTACTGATTTCTTCCACATTCCTATAATATGGATGAAATTATTAAACTATCCGAAATATATTTCCTAGAATATAATAATGTTGTGGTCGGTTATACAAGTATAGCTATTGTGGTATTCATAAAGAGATCATACATTTTTTTTATTTTAATACAAAATTTTAGAATTTAAAATAGTTTTGGGTAAATTATTAATAATTTATATGAAAAACTTTATTAAGAAAATCTAATTTTTTTTTTATCTTATTTTTGTTCTTTTATCAAATATTTGTTCCAAAAAAAACTTTAAATCTATTAACCCCTAAAGGTAATAATCTTTATATAATATAGTTATGATATATATAGAATTCAAATTCAAGTTTTTTATATAAGAATTCCGAGTAATATATTTTATAAGTACCGTTTAAGATAATATTTTAGAATACTATAAGATCATTTTAAAAATTATGGAAAATTTCTGATAATATTTAAGTATATATATACATATATAAGAAATGTGGGTCGAGATATAATGAAAATATCTAAATGAATAATGTTATATGTATATGTGTACTTGAAATATGAATGAAAT